ATAAGGGAACATAGTGAATGTGCACAGGTGGTTCTCTTGGTGGCTGCAGCTGTGGGTGTATCCTGTCAGAACCCCAAGGACAGACCAGTACAGGTGCCTGAATACCAACAGAAGGGACTCATGCCACCTGGCAGGTGTTATAAGCTAGAGATGTTATTAAATGTCCCTCATGACAAGAGACTCAGACCATTCATGTCCATGTCCAGTATTAACCCAAAAGTTAATTGTACCAAAGTTGAGAAACATGAGACGATACACTGTCTGTGGGATAGGAAAGGAGGCAAAACATGGCTGAAAACATTGCGAAGAGGTTTCAGGAGGCGTGTTCTTGGGCACTTGTAATGGGAGAAGGATAGCAAAGATGAGCAGAGCAGAGCTGACAGAGAGTGGTCACCCTGCTGTGCATTTCCTCTCAGCTATTTGGCATTTCGAGGAATTGATGTTTGTTTGTTTGTTTGTTTGTTTGTTGCTTTTTCGAGACAGGGCTTCTCTATGTAGCTTTGGAGCCTATCCTGGCACTCGCTCTGGAGACCAGGCTGGCCTCGAACTCAGAGAGTTCCGCCTGCCTCTGCCTCCCGAGTGCTGGGATTAAAGGCGTGCGCCACCAACGCCCGGCGATGGTATTTTTTTTTAAAGAGGTTGTCTATACCTAACCAAATCAATGTATTATCCTTAAAATGACTTTATTTCTATGCCCAGGAAGACAAGAGCCGTCCTTTTATTGCATCCAGCCCTACCAATGGGGCCAAAACTGTGGCAGAAGGCTGGATCTCTGAAGACCCTGACAGCAGCCTTTATGGAGACATACATTTTTATGACTATCTCAGTGACTGCTGGGATTGGAAGGTCTTCCCCAAAGCTCGATTAGTATCCGAATATGGCTACCAGTCCTGGCCTTCATTTAGCACACTAGAAAAGGTAAGTCATTGGCCTCTCAATTTTTCCATGATTTACAACAGTAGACAGTGGGTTCAGACAGTCAGATGAGAGCCACTTTTGTTTAATTGACAGTTCAGGAAGAGGATGGAAGAAAAGAACTCTTCTTTGACATCTGGAGAGCTAGAATCTTATAATTGCCATTTTGATTGAGTAACTTTGCAGTATGTTTTTAATTGTATGCCTTCAGGAACACTTCCATGTTAAATGGAAACATGCCGAAGCTTAAGTTTGACTCGTAATTGGGCACTGAAACAACTCTAGTTGATAAACATTTATTGGTTTATTTATTATGAGTGTTTACTCTTGTCATGTGTGTGGTGATCAGAGGACAACTTGAAGGAGCTGGTTCTCTCTTGCCTTGGGAGGGTCTGGGGATCCAACTGTCAGGCTGGGTAGCAAGTACATTCCCCACCCCACCCCCACCCGCCACCTGCCATCCTGCTGGTCCTGAGTTGATACTTTGTATACAGACTAATCATTTATAGCGATTCAGAACTAGCTACCTAACCACGTTAGAAGAGAACAGGGTGAGCAAATCCTCGTCTGTGTTACCTAGTTTTATTTTCTCCTTCTGCCTCCTCCTTCATGTCTGTCTTCCGTCTCTCTTGCTGCTTTTTCTTCATGTTGGTAAATCTGATTTTCAGTCTGAATATACACTCTGTACCCAGAGATTTAATTGTAGGGTTGGGCGTGTTCTCTTTAAAACACCTTTAACGAGATGCAATCTCTTAGTAAAGAATCTACTTATTTAATGTGCACAGCTTAGCCTCCACTGTGCTTACAGACTTGTACAACCATCCCCACAGTCTGATTTTGCAACATTTCCATCACTCAGTACTTGGGAGGCAGAGGCAGGGGGATCTCTGTGAGTTTGTGGCCAGCCTGGTCTACAGAGTGAGTGCCAGGGTCCCCTTAGCAGTCATTGTCCACTGTCTTCTGACCCTGTCTCCAGCCCTAAGCACCACTACTCTGTCTGTGTCTATAGGTTTATGTATTCTTCACAACTAATGTGGTTAGGATAATACATTTGAGGTGTTATAACAGGCTTAACTTAACATGTTGCATTAGAGTCATTACTCCTTATTGCTGATTATGTTCTGTTGGATGTATTTTCCACATTTGTTGATCCATTTGTCTGTTGATGTACAGCTATGCTATTTCCAGCTCTTGGATATCATAAAGAAAGCTGTTGTGAACATTAGTGTGCCCGTTTTTAAATGAGCATTTTCAGACCTACTGGGTGCGAGTCTGTGAAGGTCACTGCTGAATCATGAAATGACTCTTGTAACACTCAGCATTGCTTTCTGTAGTGACTGCACAGATTCCCTTTCCTCCCGGCCTTTTCTGCAGCCTTTCCAATACTTTTTTCGTTTTGAAAAACATTTTTTGTGGAAATATAGTTTTTTTTAATCAAATTTGCATTTCTTTGATGATGACTGATTATTTTGAACATTTCTTCAGGTGCTTATTGCAATTTGTATAGCTCCCGTTGAGAGATGCATATTCAGATTTTTTATTCATTTTTATTTATTTATTTTTTTTGGCAGGATTTTGCTAGTTGCCCAGGCTGGCCTGGAACTCATTCTTTAGTCTAGGCCAGTGGTTCTCAACCTTCCTAATGCTGTGACCCTTTAAATATAGTTCTTCATGTTGTGGTGACCCCTACCCGTAAAATTATTTTTATTGCTACTTCATAACTGTAATTTTGCTATTGCTGTGAATCACAATGTAAATATCTGTGTTTTCTGATGGTCTTAGTCAGCCCCTGTGAAAAGGTCGTTCAGCCCCCCATAGGTTGAGAACTGCTGGCCTAGGCAGTTCTTGGATAAGGAATATGAACAAATTCTAAAGCATTTACTATTGTAATAGCATTTGGTTTTTATTTAAAACTATGACATTTTAAACAGAATATCAATTGTAGCCCATTATTCAATTCTTAAAAACCTAAAAACAGAATTTACCTAAGTAAAGGAAACGGCAGTGCAAGGTACACACAGTGAAGCCAGTTTGCTGGCATGGGCTTGTAAGCGCAGCACTTGGGAGGCAGGAGAATCAGAAGCTCAGCATAAAGCTAAGGTGTTACAGGGTGTGAGCACTGCATGGGGTCCTATCTCAGAAAGAAGATACAGGTGATCCGTGTCTTAACAAACAGAATTGTATTTTGCTAGGGAAGGCCTTTAAGAGAAATAACTAAAATGTAATCTTCTAGCTGTGAAAGCAGACCACTGTTACCAATGTGGATTTTACCTTGTTAGCCCTTTATTAGTAATAAGGAGAATGATTTTTTTTTAATGTATGAAATTACCGTCACAGAACAAACCTTCAGTTCTTTCCCAATCTGTAGAGCACTTTCCAGGTTTGTCAGGAACATATAAGAAAAGTAGTTTCACCGCTAAGATCTATAACTCTTATTTATTTGAAAGGTCTCAACTAAAGAAGACTGGTCTTACGGTAGCCACTTTTTCTTTCACCGGCAGCATCATGTAAATGGTAACGATGAAATGCTTCAACAGGCTAATCTTCATTTCATACTCCCCCAAAGGAAAGATTCCTTACTCAGATTAAAAGATACTATCTACCTTACTCAGGTAAGTCATCTTCAGTGTGGAGTTGACAGGCTTCTACTCTGAACATATGCAATCTTGCAGATTTTGTCGGCTTTGTGTGGTTTGCATTCTCTTGATTAAGGCTTTTGTTTTTTTTTTTCATAATTCAGTTATGATAACCCATAAGACCTGCACTTCATTTTTGGCTTTGTTTCTCCTACAAGAATAGCTTAGGAAATTCTAAAACAAATTGTGTATTAGGATGTTTGCAAGTTTAAGATTAGCATAAAGGTTGAGCAATAAAGACAAGAGTGGAATTTCCCTAGAAGGACAGAGATGGACTCACATATGATATGGCTAGAGGCTTTCTGACTGTGCAGCCTGGAAATTCACGTGGAAAAGAATATAGTAGTAGTGAAGTATGCTGCACCGAGTGGATAGATTTACAGGAAAATGAAAGTCCTCCATGTGTACAAATTAATTTCACCACTGACCTGAGATTTAAAGGTGAGGGTTTGGAACAGAGCCATGTTTACATGCTCCAGGCCTTGGGTTTGATCCCCGAGACAAAAAAAAAAAACCTGAAATATAGAAGCGGTTCATCAACTCCTTGGAGAGAACACAAGACAATATCTTCATGACTTTGAGACAGATGAAGAGTTCCTAAAACTTAGCTGGGCATTGGTGGCACATGCCTTTAATCCCAGAACTTGGGAGGCAGAGGCAGGTGGATCTCTGTGAGTTCGAGGCCAGCCTCGTCTCCAGAGCAAGTGCCAGGATAAGCTCCAAAGCTACACAGAGAAACCCTGTCTCGAAAAACAAAAACAAAACAAAACAAAAAAAGAGTTCCTAAAACTTAAAAACACTAACCATGAAAGAAAATGTTGATAAATTATATTTCACTAAAATTATTGGCCTTTGGATATTAAAAAAAAAAAAGCACTACAAGAAAGGGGAAAAGGTAGACTGAGTGTTTACAATTCATTTATGTGTAGTTGGTCTGGTCTGGGTCTTTTATCATGCCTGTTGCTTACCAAATAAGTCACATCTAATTCACACATGGGCTTACAGTACAACATTGCTCCCCCCCCCCCTTTTGCCACCCCCGTTATCTGTGGCACTTGAAGGTAACAGGTGCCCTAACCGAGTCAGTTTCTCATTATCTGACTGTCATCAGATGCCCAACAAATATGCTAGGGACAAATGAAAGCAGTAGAGGGGGCTGTAAGCTAAGGGGTTGCTGAAGACTGAATTAGCCTCCTCGTGTAGGTGGTAGTGAGAGGGCCTGCTGGGGCATGCCATTCGGTTCAGTTAGTCACTCTTCAAAAGTAGTAGCTGTGAGTCAGAGATTAAGAAAGCATGCCTGGGTGTGTGGCCATTTGGGGCAGTTATATATAACCAGAGAAGAAGGCAGAACGCAAGGGATATTGGGAGAGTTGAAGAGGCACAGGGCTAGGTGGCAAAGCCCGGGACGGCTCTCCATGTTTATGAAGAAGCTTGCTGCCAAGCCTTCTCAGCTCAATCTCTTTGGATAGCCACAAAGTTTGTCAACTAATAGTGTCTTGAAAAGTGACTAGGCACCTATCCTGTTCTTCGGAATCTCATGGATGACTAATACCAAACGGTGGGAGGGGGTAAGAGTCGAGTGGATGAACCAGAGAAAGAATTTCTCTATCTTCCTTCATTTCTTCCTTCCCTTCTCCCTTCCTTTCTATCATTTAAACAAATTTTAATGAAAAGTGTATATTAGATTACTTAATTCTGGCATCTCTCTAATTGGTGTGTTTGTTCTGTTCCTTTTTTTTTTTTTTTTTTTTTTTTTTTTTTTTTGCTGGCAAGGCTTGGCTTTCAGTTCTAGGATTTTACATTTTTTATTATTTATTTGCGATTTTTGTTTGGTTTTAGCCTGGTGATGACCACCTTGCTGGTGCAAGTGCTCCCAGGGACAGGGAGAGAAGGAGGAGGGGGCGTGTAGGGAGAAATATGGAGGTAGGAGGATGCTGGGAAATCAAACATGGTTCCTCTAGAAGAGCAGCCAGTGCTCTCAGGCACTGAACCATTTCTCCAGCTCTTTAGCCTCATTTTTACCCAAGCAAATGAAAGTTAAAGCCATTTAAGATGCATACCCACCAGAATTCCTCTAACTGGGGACTGACACCAGCAGCTGCTGGAGTTAGGTAGGCCAGCTGGAACTGTAAAACACTGTTAGACAAAGTGTCGCTTTGTTTAACCACTTTGGGAAAATTTCTGGCAGTTTCTGTCAAAGCTAAATGCTTGGTTCCCTTATAAATCAGTTACATACCCAAGCAAGTACATTGGTCTACTAATAGTTACTGTTCATGGTAGCATTGCTCGTAACAGCCTCCAGCTAGAAACAACACGAGTGTCCTTTAGTAGGAAAACTATATGCAGTGTGATTTGTTCCCATGCAATACAGAAGGAGACACACTCATTGTATTATCAGCTTAGGCAACTCTCAGAGTGTGTTGAGTAAACAAATAGAAATAGTTTATGTTGAAATCTAAGTGTCGGCACGGGGGTGGGCCTAGGCCCTATCCCAAAGGATAGGATAGATTCTGATGACACCCTATGGAAGGCCTCACCATCCAGGGGGAGCAGAAAGGATATGTGATAGGTAGGGTTTTAGTTGGGGGGGGGTAGTGGGGGAGGATGGGAGGGAGAAGGGAACTGGGATTGTCATGTAAAACAGTCTTGTTTCTAATTCAAATAAAAAAATCTGCAAAAAGAAAGAAAGGAAAGAAAGAAAGAAAGAACGAAAGGAAGAAAAAAAGAAAGAAAGAAATCTAAGTGTCGGGAAGACTAATCGAGACAACTGATGGGCACCAGGGAATTACCTGCTCCTGGGTTTGGTGAGATGAGTTTGTCTGAGCATCTGGCGTTAATAGCCAGCTAAGCCTTGCCTCAGAATTGGACTTCCTCTCATTCGGCTTCCCACCTTGCTGTCATGCTTCCTAATTCTAAACTAGATGGGATCTCAACGAAATTAATCTGCTACTTTTTTCTTTCCCCTCCCATCTCCACCTTTCTCAATCAAGGCTTTCTTCTCAGATGAGTCTATGCTGTGTCACAGTGACAATTAAGCTAATTAGGACAGCACCTAACCCACCAAGCATGGTAGCCTAGCAACACAGCAATATGTTGTAACACATCAATCGGTTGTTACCCATCTGACCGCATGTGTTTGTAGCTTCATGGGAAGAGATTATGGTGCCACATAGTGTTAGCATCAGAAAATAAAAAAATAGAAATTCAAATAGGAGGCTCAGTTTCTACTGAGTGCACATTAGTTTTCATCATTACAAAACTGAGGAATCATAAGCCAAACCACTGTTATCGGGGGACTAGCTGTACTTAGGAATATAGTTCAACAAAGAGTCACAAGAGTTGAAAACTCCCAAAAAAACTGTGGAAAGGAATTACATGATTAAAACAACCCCTAGTGTCCCTAAATCAGAAGGTTTGATTGTTAAAATGACAGTACTCTCTGAATGGATCTACAAATTCAATGTCTGTCAACATTTCTATTACTTTTTCATTTCTTTTCCTCCCTCCCTTCCTCCCTCCCTCCCTTCCTCCCTCCCTCCCTCTCTCTCTCTCTCTCTCTTTCTTTCTTTCTTTCTTTCTTTCTTTCTTTCTTTCTTTCTTGGAGAAATGGGTTGGCGTTGGTGGCGCACGCCTTTAATCCCAGCACTGGGGAGGCAGAGGC